TTCCCGCTGCCCCCGGCATCTCCCGCTCCATCCCTGCCGTGCCCAGGGGCTGCTCCTTCCCTCGGGAATCACCTCAGGGTGAGGGGTGGGGGGGGTCCCAGCCCCCCAAAATCCCCCTGCGTGTCCCAGGATGGGGCAGCGACCCCTCCGAGGGCTCACACCCAGCTTTGGGCCGTGGGAATCACCAGAATTCCAGATCCTCCCCAATTCCCTACGGAAAAGCTGCAGCTCCCTGGGGTGGATTTGGGGGTTCAGCCCCTCCTGAACTCCCCAAAACCCCCCCAAAACCCGGGAGCGAGGCGCCCCAGCTCCTTCCCTGCCGCCCCAGGCCCGCGTGGAGCGCATGGAGCAGTTCCAGAAGGAGAAGGAGGAGCTGGATAAAGGCTGCCGCGAGTGCAAGCGCAAGCTGGCCGAGTGCCAGAGGAAGCTGAAGGAGCTGGAAGTCGCCGAGCCGGAGAGTGGGAAAGGGGAGCTGGAGAAGCTCCAGGCCGAGGCCCAGCAGCTGAGGAACGAGGAGAAAAGTTGGGAGAACAAGCTGGAGGAGCTGAGGAAGAAGGAGAAGAACATGCCCTGGAACGTGGACACGCTCAGCAAGGATGGCTTCAGCAAGGTGCGGGTTTTTTGGGGAGAAAACCCCCCAGAAAAAGCACCCCCAGCGTGTCCTAAATCCCCCAAGTCATTCCCTGCCTTCCTTGGCGTTCCCAGAGTGTTTTCAACGTGAAAGCCAAGGAGAAGGAGGAGACGGAGGAGCAGAAGGAGAAGAAACACAAAACCTTCGTGGAGCGATACGAGAAGCAGATTAAACACTTTGGTGAGGGGGTTTGGGGGGGCTTTAGGGAGCTGGGGGACGCTTTTTGGGGTTCTCCAAGCTTGGGAACACCCCCCGTGGTGGGAGCAACCCGGAATCCTCTCGCTGCGCTGAAAAATTGAGGATTTTGTGTGCTTTTTCCCATTTTTTCCCCCCCGCTGAAGCACAGTTTGGGGGGAATTGGGTTAAATTTCACGATGAGGTGCTCGCCCTCCTGGCCAGCCTCATCCAGGCGGAGTTTGGGGTTTGTTCCCCGGCTGAGGAGGGGGAATTCTCCTGGTTCCCGGTGGCAGGGATGCTGAGGCGCTGGGACGACAGCCAGAAGTACCTGTCAGACAACCCTCACCTGGTGTGCGAGGAGACAGCCAACTACCTGGTCATCTGGTGCATCGACCTGGAGGTGGAGGAGGTGAGCAGTCAGGCTGAAATTGGGGTAAAAATCCTAAAATCCCCAACTTTTGCAAGCTGGAGCTGCCTTGTTCTCACCTCTCCGGATTTCTTCCCGTTTTTCCTGCCAAAAAAAACCCGAGAGGATTGAGGACTTACAAGGCAGGAGAGGTGGGAAAAGATCCTTAAAATCATCCTGTAGAAGCACCCACCTTTCCTTGGGAGAGAGGTTGACACCTCTCCTGCAGCTCCAGGGTTTTTCTGGGATGAGGAGCCCACAAAATCAGGGAATTTGGGATTAATTTGGGATCAAACAGCTCCTAAAGAGCATCGAACCTAACCCAGTCTCATCCTCAATCCAACTTGGGATTCCCTGACCCAAATCGCCTCCTCCTCACCCAAAAAGGGGTTTGGCCGAGTGGGGAATGGGGATTTTGGGAGATCTTGGGGGGATTTTGACCCCGTTTTCCCCCCAGAAACACGCGCTGATGGAGCAGGTGGCCCACCAGACCATCGTCATGCAGTTCATCCTGGAGCTGGCCAAGAGCCTCAAGGTGGATCCCAGGGCTTGCTTCCGGCAGTTTTTCACCAAAATTAAGGTAAAAATCCCCCCTGGACTCCCCAAAATCCCTCCCTGAGGCCGTGTGCACCCAAATTTCCACAGGTGTAGCCTCAAATTCTTTCCTTTTCCCAAAATCCCTCCCTGAGGCCGAGCGCACCCCAATTTCCAAGGATTTAGCCTCAAATTTTTTCTCCTTTTCGTGGGGTTTGACCAGGGGAGGGGGTTCTGGTGGAGTGGGGGACGGGGTGGAAAAGGGGGAGCTCAGGGGGTGGAATTGGGGATTTGGGGTTGGAATTGGGGGTTCAGGGGTGGAAATGGGGATTTAGGAGTGGAATTGGGGATTTAGGAGTGGAAATGAGGGTGTGGGATTGCAATTGGGGGTGTGGGGTTGATATTGGGGCTTCAGGGGTGGAAATCAGGGTGTGGGATTGAAATTTGGGGTTTAGGACTGGAACTGGGGATTCAGGAGTGGAACTGGGGATTTAGGAGTGGAAATGGGGATTTAGGAGTGGAAATGGGGATTTTGGAGTGGATATCAGGGTGTGGGATTGGAATTGGGTGTTTAGGAGTGGAACTGGGGATTCAGGAGTGGAATTGGGGTTCCAGGGCTGGGAAAAGCAGCTGCAGGTTGGGGTTCAGAACCCCTCATCGAGGCACAGCCCCCAATTCCCCTTCCTTTATCCCCAACTCTCCGGGGCCATTAACTGGATGGCGCCGGGCTTGGATTTGGGCGGATTTGGGTTGGATTTGGGATGGAATTTGGGTGGATTTGGGATGGATTTAGGATGGATTTGAGTTGGATTTGGGGTGGATTCGGGGTGGATTTGGGGCGAATTTGGGGAAGATGTGGGGTGGATTTGGGATGGATTTGGGTTGGATTTGGGGCGGATTTGGGGCAGATTTGGCTGGATTTGGGATGGATTCGGGGTGGATTTGGGTTGGATTTGGGGCGGATTTGGGATGGATTTCAGTTGGATTTGGGGCAGATTCGGGTTGGATT